ACAGTACCCCAAAGGTCGTTCATGAAGTATAATCTCATATAAGTACTTAGTACCCAAAGTTGTAACATTTATAATACCTACGTACTTACTCCTGTTAATCCATATGGATGAGCATAGGCTGCCGAACACGATTCTTCAACCAACTATGTTCTCTTCAATCCTTCCCATTTGTTTTCAGTTATTATTCATCCTTTTGATGCATGCTTCCAATTATCGACTCAATGTGTTCCTTGGTATTCCTCTTATCTTCCTGCCTTCAGAATTCCAAGTTAGGAATTGCTTCATGATGCAGTATAATGATTCCCACAATGTATGTCCACTTTACATCCAGCATCTTTCTTGATCTCCTCTACCTCTGGAGGCTGATCTGCTCCCTCACACAGTAGGCCGTTGCTGATGGTATCCGTACAGTAGAACTCTTTTGATATCCGTAATGAAGACTGTAACTTTGATTTTGGCTCGCAGACAGTCGTTTTGGGTCCCATATGTCCTTTAACTGTAGGAATGCTGCCCTTGCTTTGCCAATCCTTGCCTTTACATCTGCATTAGATCCTTGTCCATCGATGATGCTACCCAGATACATAAAATTTTCCACCTCTCCGAGATATCAAGGAAGTGTGATTTATTTGTTCTTGATATGATTGAATCACTAATGCAACGTAAATCAGATTTTTTAGGTTAGAAGAGGACTTCACCTATCTGAAATAATGATGTATACTGTGAAAGACGTAGAGGTGCCACAGTTATTAAGAGTTTGACAACACATTTACACGTAACACCTTTATAATTGAAGTGTACCAACCCAGTCAAGTCAGAAGTCAGAAACTAGAAGGTCCAAAGATATATTTTAGAGGCTATAGATATACCGGGAAACGTTCAATCTAAGCTAACACTTGTAAGGGATTCATAGCACGACGTACCCACTCGTCGTCTAGTGCGAATACGTGACCGAGCAGCCTCAGTTAGGTGTCTCCAGTAAAACTAATGTGGTCAGCATCGATGTCGAAGACCAATAGAACTATTCATTTTGTGGATTTATTTACCGCTACAACCCATCCATGTAATTCCACGAAAGGAATTGTGGAGCTGTGATAAGTTTGTGGAAATTATTTGAGTCCAAACTACATTGCTTCTATATATTGTTGGTGTTTATTCCTGCTGCCGAGTGTGCAGTGACTTGTTGACGATGATACGACGTACGAAATTACGTTCCTACAGGCATCTATATTTCCCCTAGTTTTCTGTGTACATTGTGGTACATGGCTTGAAATTGAAACTGACTCTTCTGGATCTTAGAATTGAAGATGATAAACATGTCGGTTGTGCACTGAAACCTCCGATATTTCGAATTTGAACCATGAACTTTCCAACGTTATAATGTTGGGTCCTTAAGTCTCAATTTCAAATACAATTTGGTGTTTCCAATACTCATTATCTTCTCATACCTCGGACCTCGATTATTATACGTGAGTATTTGGGGATACATACTGACATATAATTTGAGGTATTCCTTCATGTGAATTTGACTTGCAGAAAAAATGTGATACATATTCCTTTTGCTTTTCACGTAAGAAAACATAAGGCCATTGTTCCAGTTATCAGTTGAATATGCATTTGCATGCATAATTAACACATGTGATTCATCTGCAAAGCAAATGGAAAATATGGATCTGTCTCTTACTCATCAGTATAATCTTGGACTTGATTTGAATGTTCTGCCTGTGCAAATCTCATACCTGGAAAAACGGGTTCTCTTAATGCTTTGGAAAACTTGCTATCACGTCTGATCCATCATACCAATTCTTCATACACTGGTTCTGAGAATATCTAACAGCTGATATAATAACATCAGAAATGTGACTAAAATTCGGTACATTCGGAACATATTTGTCACATTCATTAGTAACGAAGATGCCACAAGTATTTGAAGTTTGACAACGCTTTAATCAGTAACATCTTCTATTATTAATCGTACCCACCAAGTGAAATAAAAAGATAGAAGCGAGGAGGTTCGAAGATATATTTGATAGGCTATCAACATATCGAGGATCGACCGATCTAAATTGGCTAGCGATTTCAGGGGATATTGAGTACGACGTTCCCACTAGTGATCTGGTATGGATGCATGACCGAGCGCCTTCTGCTAGGTGAGTCCATTAAAACTAACGTGGTCAGCATCCAATGTCCAAGACTTACAGATCTATTTATTTTGGGGATTTATTTACAGCTAAAGTAATATCACTAGAGATAAATCCATTGTGAGGACAAATAACATCTGATGTGACACCATAAGGACTATAATCAGATTTTAACTCATTTAGAATTTGTTACTCTTGTTTAGTTAATATTACACTAGAAATAAATAAACCAATAGGACGAACCACACCTGATAAAATAACACCAGAGTTCTGATAAGGATTTGGTGCACTCGATATATCTTCCACATATTTGTAAATAATTTCGCTAGAAATACATGAATCATGAGAACAAGGCATATCTGATAATATAATATCATGAATCTGACCACAGTATGATTCATTTGAAATATTCAACTTAATAGGATCAAAATTGCAAAGTTTATCATTAATTGCAGCGAAATAAATTGTAGTTTTACAAACTGCCTGTATGTGTCCAATTTTACATTTAAAGCACTATCATTACGAAATACACGTGAATTACATGAATGAAATTTGCCACAGGATAAACATTAACCAAAATTGTGCTCTTCTTCGTGACCTGCTTCGCAACTTCTAGAAATCTGTACACTTTACATGGTCTAGTAGTAATTCTTTGAGATTTGCATAAAGAAGTGAAATACGCCTTTCTGGAAATTCCAAAGATCATAGTAGGCTGTAGACTTCTTTTCCGACTAATACAAGGAAATGAGCCAAAATATAAACATATTCCTTTATTACAGCCCCGATTTCGAACCTTTCCATATAATCCTCAAACGCACTAAAAGTTGATTGTATTGTAGTAGGCGTCGAGTCGCGATTGACTATGATCACCACTACAGGAAGATTACGAGCCAGATATTAGGTTTGATCCCTTCGTAGATTAAAAACCAAAAGGCAATTGACTGTCGTAATAGAGTATTCTTGACGTCCATCTCGTGGTATCGAAATAATACCGAGATCGTGCCAAATAGTACAAGCTGGACTAAGTAGCGTAAACAAAAGCGTGCGAAGTCACAGTTAACGGAAGAACGTGAGGTTTTAGTACCGTTAAACAATCAGGTACAGTAAAACAACCACTGATACAATGGGTCATAATAATAATTCTTTCCATTATACCAGTCACGTTCTCTTCATAAAAGTAGGTCACTGCGGTATGTCCAACTGTCCTATAACAGGCTCCATCGCGATGCAAGTGCGATGATCAGAAGTAATTGAATTATTGTACTAACTAGGAATTTCCGAAATAGCACAATTTAAACCAAACAGAACTAGGTGATCACAAACGAACATAATGCATTTATAATTCAAAATCAGTCAGACATCAAGTACAAAATAATTATTAGTTCATACAAACACCACACCTTTTTAGTGTCAATTTAGATCGGGCATAAAATGACTCCACTCTTGAAGACCTCACTCCAATATATATTATATAGAAACACAACATTGTCGCGATAGTCTAAACACTATCAAGCAGTCATTTTGAAACCACAATCACAAATTTATATGACTTTTGGCTCGATCAACTGTCACATGACAAAATCCTCAATCAGAATATCGATGTCTGTTACCTCGTATCTGTGCTAAACCAATGACACATCAACTAGTACTAGCTGCAATGAGTCAACTCTGAATCCTTAGTCGTCCACGATACAGTTGCTCATCACATAGCCCTACTCACCCGGTTCACAACACAATATCCACCTCCACTGTATGAATCAGATATTTCAGATATGCATAGTTTCGGTACAGTCAGACCAGACCACATCACACCATAAAATAAGGAGATAACAGTTATAAAAGATCAGTCGAAAAGTGGCTGTGAATATGGGAGACCGTAACTAGTAGATTGTGAGTAGATTACAAATAGTAAGTCGCATAATAATGGTCAACAGGTCAAATAAAAGCTTATGGTAAGATATATATTTGACCGTCTTTAAATCATTCCTGGCAGTAACCATTTATTTGATCTTCTTCGGATGCAACATGAATAACTGATCTTGTCACTTATCCGACCTGTTGTTGTCGCTCAACTTGTGGAAATCAGCAGAAAACCGATCGCATGTAGGCATTTTATGCTGAAATATGCGCCATCACCTTAAAATTCCTTACCCGATTCTTAGTAGCACGTTTATATACCATAGTTTTTCCTCTGGATCTTTTATTAAAATGAAGATTTCTGTTTGAGACTAACAAGATAACAATTATTTTTCACATAATGTTTTACCATTTAAGTACGTTTAGTGCATAAAAAAACTTCAACGAAAAAGTAGACCATTAGAAAGACGGTGTCCACTTTTATAAAGATATATCATAAAGTTTGTTTATGTATTCATAATATCTTTGACATATTCGTTTCCGAAAGCTGTAAAATCGGTGTGATGAACAATAATAAGACAAATTATGACATATTATAAAGGACTAATTGTGTAACAAATGAAGTTCAATAGAATTTTTGTGATTTATAAGTTAGGAACGTGTGTTTTCCTGACCACTAACAAGTTTAAACAATATATAATTACATCGATTGTACTCGATGCTACTAACTAGTTTGGTTACATTATCTTGTTTTTTACCTAATCCTATTGACTACTTGACATTCAACTAATGATCATTGTTATTATTGATACTCATTGATTGATCATTTATTAACTAATTTATTTGAAATCAAATCAGCTTAGATGCAATAATAATAATAAAATGAACAAGTTAATTACTCAAAGTTTATATACCTTATCAAAATTAGATTCATTGTCGACCTGGGACAGTTTAATAATATAATCGATATGTGTTATCATTACCACATCATAACAAAAAATTGCCTTCTAATAATAAATATTTTATTACTGAAGAATAAATGATGGTGTGAATGAAGCATAATTAAGTCATAATAAATAAAGTATAAATTCTATAATTATTTAGAAGCAATATATACGATAATCAAACTTTTCATGATAAGTGCAATGGGCGAGAAATATCAGTTTATTTTTTATTAAAAGTAAGTTGATAACAATGGTAGTATGAAAAGTAATGAAGATGAGATTACAGTCATGGATATTTGTGTTTTTCTACTAGAATTGCATAAATCGTCTTGACAACACGATGTAACAATTCCTGACCCGGATCTCCTGGCATCAGCTTCAACGCAAACCGGAACACAACTACGACTGGTCACTTGTAGTTTATCTTGTACATATGTTCTTATTGTCTGTTAGTAAAAACAGAAAAGTGTTAAACAAAGAATATACTAGTTAGACAAAAACTAAGCTAACAGGTGAGACAAAACTACATAAGGTTTTCAGAAAATTGACGTTTATTCCATTTTTCTTGAATATTGATAAAATATCAAAGTGATCATTCTTAGAGTCTAAGATTATTTCTTTAGTAAAATATGAATATTTTAACATTATAACTTTTCATAATGTTGTCAAATCCATGTTCATATAAGAAAGTGAAGAGATGACAACAATACATAAACATAAACAAGAGTATAGGAATGTATGTAGAAAACCGCTTTCTCACTATTAAAGCCTTGAAGTCACTGTCGTTGAGTCACTAACAGATAAAAACTATGCTGTTTCAAATTTATTATCGTCTAAACAGTGTCAATTTAAGGCCACGAGTCACTTGTTTAGAGAAAAATGTGAGAGATATATGTATGATACTTTTATCGTTTGTGACAAAAATATTGAACTCAGTGATATCTAGGACGAGCTTGGTAGCTACCACCAGCCAATTAAATTCACAATATAGAAACGGAATTGAACTCGAAGTTCCACTACATGGATGTTTTTTTAAAAAAAGGAGACTGGGTTGTTCAAAAACTAATAACATTTTTAATTGGTTATTTTGTAATTGGTTTTTCTTATTATTCCCACAGATTGAGTATTGGCTTAATATTTTTACCCCACTGTTCTTTGCAACTACTCGGCGGATAATTTTCAACACACTAGTCTGATTGTTCATACTTCTTTTAAGTGACCAGTTAAAAGGTTATTTCCTTTGACAGTTGAAGTATAATACTTTTTATATAATCTTATGATAATCTAGTTAAATTTACTTTGTATACAGTAATGAATGATATTATAGCGTTTGCCCGATTTATTATATAAAAGTTCTTTCCCTTTTTATTGTTCAAAGACGTTTTGTATATAATAGAGCTGTTTTTAAACTGATTGTCCACTAAATAGTTACCGGACTTCATGCTTGTCGCCGGGTTATCATTAATTAAATTCTGTAGATTGGGTTCCGTTGTGGTCACTGTTATAAATGATTCAGCATACTATGCACTATTTTAATGAAGGCAGTCTTCAAGAGATCCCATTTGATCTAGGTTTTGCGCTAGTTGACATTCGTCTACAAGCCAAAAATCTTAAGAAAAATGAGTATTCCCACGAAATTCAAATGGTGTCACTTGGTATAACAATCAAAAATATTGTCTTTAAGTTTTTCGAGTAGCTAATGACCCGTTTTAGAAATTAGATTTACACACTGACTAATCAGCGAGTAGTTATCAGTTAACGTTCAAGTCATTCGAGATCCATATGGTAGCATCTTTGACTGTAATACTGGACAAGCTGGTTTGAGACTTGAGTGAATTAGCTGTTTCTTGAATATTTCAGGTACACCTTGACGACAAATCTCAAATAACATGAAATCCAATTTTAAGGCTTTCAATAAATTACCTCCAATCATCCAATGTAACTTTAAGCCTTCTCTGGGATAAGAATTGTTAGCTTGCAGTAACTTAACTGTTGGACACTTATATTGAGTTAAACACTTACCGTTAACTGTCAGAGTTTAATATTTGCTTTCATTTCACTTGAATTTTCCTCCTATTACATGTACTTCTGATTCATCGTACAGGATTTTTAGTGAGCTTTGGTAATTGTCATTAGATAAAAATACTTCGCCAATTATTTACAAATTTGCAAGAAGCATAAGAAATGCTTTAGTGCGTACAACTGGAAATTTAAATATAATATCACCTCTGTTGATTACGCTCTCATAGATGATCAAATATAAAAAGGGCAATGTGTGGTTAACTATATGTTTCTACAAATTATTACTTGAATTAAATAGTTTGTTTACTCACTAAATTGCATAAATTGAGATATTTATTGAAATACACCAGTTTTTTTGAAAGGAATAACCAACCACAAAAATTTCTTTCTTATTAATTTATGTGGACTTGATTTATGTCAAATCTACTCAACAGAACAGAGCAAGAATTTTTGCAAACATTTACATTATAAATAATGCAGTGGGATAAAGGAACAGTAATGTCTGTATAAAAAAGATTAGGACGATGTTAACTTTTTTCTGTTATCAAGGTAAAAAATCGATTTTATGATCACATGGTAGCATTTTTCACATGAAATAGTTTTTCATTGTAAGTACGACTGATCATCGATGAAATTATATAACAATAACAGCAACAGGTAAATTGTTAAATTTAGATAATGTGAGACAGAAGGTTCAATATTAGATCATGTTTCGAAAGTGTGCTAAGTAGTTAGAAACTAGAGCGATGCTGACGTCTATTACGTTACAATTTTCAATATTTTGATAACTTCTTTCAGTTAGTGCATGGCATAATCGGAATGCAAAAGTAGAATGGTTGTTATCAGTTACGTAAATTCTTATGGAAATTCCCGGAAAAATTATTATAAGTATTGACATAAAAGGTATATTTCTCGTCACTTACTGAACAGAAGGTACAACCAGTTTGTTTCTCAGTATCCTGATATCTGAAAGGGTCTTGACACTTATTACACACATAACAACGATGACCTAAACCTATTTTTGAAAAATAGAAACACAAATTTATTTACGGTTGTGAAACTCATAACAATCAGTGTTAATTTATTCAAAGGATAAATGAATGTTGAACCAGGGTAGATTCTAGTAAATTGTGCAAATACCGAGATGGATTTCAGGGATAAATGAATAAAATTATACAAACGGTTGTGGTTTACGTACATAGATGGTTTTCATCGGTATATAATTTCTGCTTAACAGTTAAACTAACAGAAATTCTCATAATTAAGGGAAAAATCTGTTCTTGTTACTTGTTAACATACTATTGTGAATCACGAGGTGGCTACTCTAATTCTACCAATTGATCGTCTTCAGATATTCCAGTATGACCCCAATACTGTTACCCAATCTCCAATATATCAGAACAGGAACCGCAGATAAAAAATCGTTTATGGGGTCAGGAACAGAATAATGATTTACAAACAAATTCATATTTACACAGTTAGGATTACTATAAATATTGACCAACCGAAAAATGACACGCGAAATAAATATTGATCAGTAGGGAAACGACCAATAGGAAAATGACACCATTTAACGTTCAAGGGTAGCATTAGACTTAACCGGATCATTGTTTTTGGGATATTTTTCTCAATATCCCAAAACCTTCCTTTAGAAAAGTTAATAGCGACGTAACCGAGGGTTTACTTGAAGTTTCTTTGGGTATCTTCTTTTGCGATCCGACCTCCGAGGCAACCACACAGAACCAGAAGGGTGTTCTACTTGAGTAGATGACTTAGTCGTCTCTGTTGCAGGTATTGGCAGAAGTTGAAACGTGTCCAACAGCAAGTCGAGTGGGACGCGTTCTGTAATTGCTTCTTTCTTCTTCGCTTCCCTTGGCCTGACTTGATTGTGGTGCCTGGTCCAGATTTCTTGGTTCACTTTGACATCATACATGACATCCCCATGTTTTTTTGTAATTTCACCCTCTACCCATCTATCGCATCCATGTCTATAAACTCGCGCATACACTTTTGTACCAACTTCGTAGGGAATTCGAGTATTCTTCATCTGGGAGCTTTGTTGGGCCACTTGCTTGGGTTTCATCGCACCATGAACTGTCCGTAGCTTTCGCTCCATAAGCATCTCAGCAGGGGATTTGGAGTTTGGCAATAAGTTATGCGGAGTCGTCCGGTACGCAACTAGGAATCTTTCTGTGATATCTTCTGTGGTCCCCTCCCCTCGTGCTCTAAGCATGACTCGTTTAAATGTATCGACGAACCTTTCAGCTTGTCCATTAGATTGCGGGTGATATGGCGGAGAACGGACATGGCTGATCATACGGTTTATCTCTGGGTGTCCAGAGTGGAATTGGCGTAGGACCTTGGAACGTAGGGTTATTGGAATTACTACGCGATCACCGAACATCAGACAATCGTTAACAATACAGAGAGCGCTGCGACGATTCGCTAGTTGTTGCATATCACCACTCAGCTGCTTAACTGGCCATCTGCTCTGAACATAGGTGATCGCTTCTTGGGTAATCAGGTTTTCTCTGGTAGCTTCCCGAACATCTTCAGCGGTAACAGGCATTGCTCGAACGGCATTCGCTAGTAGTGTAGCACCGGAATCCTCTTCGGTTGACACTATGGCTATGAGTGTGTCCTCATCAGTGGTAGAATGGTTACTGATAAGTCTGGACAGTGCATCTGCCTGACCAAAATCTTCGGAATGTCGATACTGGATTTCGAAGTCGTACCCCAATAACGCCAACGCCCAACGTTGAAGGCGATTAGCAGAATGTGCAGGAATGCCTTTCTTCGATCCAAAGATTGACAACAACGGCTTGTGGTCTGTGAGCAAGGTGAAAAGGTGCCCATAAATGAATTTGTGGAATCGCCGGACAGCAAAAATTAGGACTAACGCTTCCTTCTCTATCTGGCCATAGCGTTTCTCAACAGGTGTTGGTGTTCTCGAAGCGTGCATCACCGCTTTCTCTGACCCGTCGGGAAAGACATGTGAGAGTACGACACCCAGTCCATGTGTTGAAGCGTCAGCAGTAACCACAATGAGTAGTTTTGGATTGTAGTGGGTTAGCAGAAGATTGGAACTTAGCATGGCTTTAAGTTTTGAAAAGGCTGACTCAAATAACGTTGACCAATTTCAAGTAGTATTCTTTTCTAGAAGACGATTTAGTGGATATCGTACGTCATGCAGTGATGGGAGAAATGCTGAATAGTAGCTAATCATTCCCAAAAATTATCGCAGTGAGGAGACATCAGTGGGAGCCGGCATTTGTTGGATTGCGTAAGTATTTTGAGGATCACGGTGTCATCCGGAAGCATCAGAGATAAACCCCAGGTATTTAACGAAACGTAAGAAGAACTGGCATTTTTCTGGGCAAAGGCGAAAACCATTATCCTGGAGGCGTTGCAGAACTAAGTGGGTTCTGGTATGCAATTCATCAGCAGTTGATCCGACAATGAGGACAACGTCAAGGTATGTAGCAACACCAGGAACATCTACCAGAAGTGTCCATGATCTGCTGGAAGATCGCTGGAGCAGTTTTGATACCAAAGGGTAACCGGGTATACTGAAAAAGTCCTCGGTGAGTGTTGATTGTCGACAACTCTCTCGATTCCAGAGCGACTGGAATTTGAAGGTAAGTATCTGCCAGATCCAGCTTAGCAAAGTAGGTACCACCATTTAAAACAGTAAATAAGTCATCTGGAATCGGCAGCGGATAGTGATGATGTTGTAGAGCTGCGTTGAGTCCTGTGGAAAAGTCTGCACAGATGCTTATGGAACCATTGGATTTTCTTACAACCACAATTGGTGCAGCCCATGATGAATAAGAAACAGGTACTAGGACACCCTCAGTTTTCAAACGTTGAAGTTCAGCGTCAACCAGAGGTAAAGATGAGTATGGGACTAGACGCTTTGGGCGAAAAACTGGCGTAGCTTCTGGCTGCAGTCTTAAAACAGCTTCAGTTGTGGAAAAAAGTCCGAGACCAGGCTGAAATAGTTCAATTAATCGTTTTCGATGGTCTTCAGCATGCTGTTCTGTAGAGGCAGTAGTTTGAACTTGATTGAAGATAGCGCTAATGGGAAGATCAGCGAGACCAAGTTCTTCGAACCAATCTAAACCTAAAAGGTTGAGCGGAGAATTGGTGATGTAGCACGTCCCATTGAAATGCAGCAATAGAGTTCACCATGAAGGCGGAGATGACCCCCACAGGCACTGACGGCTGTCTGAGAGGATGGTTTGATGGGAGGTTGGCCCAAGGTTCGCCAAGTCTTTTTCGACAGAATGGTGATATCTGATGCAGCATGCAACTGCAACCGAACAGGCTGACCATTGATTGAGAGGGTCAGAAATTTGCGTCGAGTCGCGGCATGAGTATGGAAGATTGCTGCCCAACTCCTTGATGAGGTAATCGGCTTTTTGTGAAAACGACGCTGCGTCTGTGCATTTCGACGGTTATTGGATCGGTTGGATTTGCAAAAGCCGCTTTTGTGACCAACTTTCTGACAGCGATCTCACACATGCTGTTTGAATGGGCAAAACTTCACATAGTGCCGAGCTCCACAGTGCCAACATGGCGAAGGGGCTTCTTCTGAGCCGGTTTAGAGTGATTAGAGACAGAAACAGCGCTGGCGTTCGAAGGACTCGAGGTTGTCGATCTCAAAGACTTTTTTCTGCTGCTGAACAGCATGAACTTCGGAACCACCCTGGCCCCCAGATTGAACCAAAGCGGTGTCACGCTGCAGATTGATGATGCGCTGGTACTCGTCTATGATCGCATTGAGTTTCAGTGTTGGATCTTGTTCAAGGCGGTTAAGCAACCAAGTTCTGATGTCGGAAAATTTGGGTGACTGAAGACTAGGGACTTAAATCGGTCTTCAGTGAGGGATCTGAGCTTGAACCGTTCGCATTCACAGTTAACAACGCCGACGTGGGTCAAGAAGTCATCGGACTCATTCATGACCAGTTTTAAGCAGCGATATCGAGTACTGAAGAGTGAATGATGATCACCAAAAAGTTGGCTAAGGGACTGAATAGTGGCATCGAAGGAACGGTAGCGTGGGTTCTGTGGTAGAATGAAGTTGCAATACTTATCCAGCTCGGATGGACCAAGTTTCCGAAGAAGAAGACGCATCTTCCACGAATCATCTCTGTCAGCAAAGTCAACTTTGAAAAGGTCTTCATAACGTCTGAACCAGGTATCAAATGTAATATTGGCATCAGGATCATAAATAAATTCTGAAATACCACTGGTAATACCATCAACTGATTCAGGAATTGTCGGTGTAATTGGGACTCGAGAAAATATGTGCATCTGAGTAATCATCTCCGTCAGCTTCAGCTGCTGTTCGAACAATTTTTCTAATTTTGTTTTTCCTTTGCAATAACTATCAAAAATCATCAAAAATTCACTCACAATAGCCTTTGGATCTCAATATTTTAAATATTTTTGGAACTTAAGTATGGAAAATGCATGAAAGAATCCTAGTTACATTTTGTTCTCAAGGAATAATGATGTATGTATCCTTAAGTAGATGGATTTTATTAACTCTAGTAAATAATAAGTCGTTTTTCAATATCTAAATTATAAGATAATTTATTTCTTTTAAGTTCATATTCATACTTAGTGAAAGTGAAATTAATAAAAATTTAATAGAAAGTAGACATTTCATTAAACTGAATAACTTTCATGTTATTTCTTGTAGACTAATGATAATTTAGCACATGTCATATTCAATAGTTAAACATTAGAACATTATTTATGTTTTTCTTGATTGCACTATATGTATCTTGAGTAAATCGACTTTTCGGATTTTTGAGAAAACTAAATCTTCAACTAGCGTACTTATTATCTCCAATTATGAATTCTTTTATAAATACTACTAAAATAATAACTGAAAAGGAGTAAACGAAAGTTATCAAAACACACATTCTGTGGTTTCTGTTGCACAGAAAATGAAGGAGGATCATTAAATAATTATTAAATGACAATAATAATTACTTTCATGGTGAT